AGAGAAACATCGACGAGAGAGACACACCGATCGGTCGCCTCCTGCTCACACCCACAACCCAGGTTTGTGCCCTTGAGCGGGAATCGAACCCACGACCCTTGGTGCTCAGGCCAACACTCTGAGCCACACCGGCCAGGGAAAGTCGCAACAATCTTTAGCGTGTTCGCACTTCACGGAGAGTCAGAACACGGAGGAACAACCGGAAGACGTGCCCGGAGAAGCCGCTGAACCCACCGTGTGGGTGGTGGTCGGCGCTGGGCAGGGCCGGGGGCTGAGAAGCAGCTGCAGCCGGGCTGCAGGACATGAGGTTGATACACGAAAGCCAGCAGCTGTCCTGCCGGGAATGAACACGTGGAATTTGAAATTAAAAACACAGTATGGCCCGGCCGGCGTGGCTCCGTGGTTAGAGCGCCGGCCCTTGGACTGAAGGGTCCCGGGTTCAATTCCCGCCAAGGGCACGTATCTCGGTTGCAGACTCGACCCCGGTTGGGGCTTGAGCGGGAGGCAACCAGTCAACACGTCTCTCTCTCTCCCTTCCACTCTCTCTGAAAAGCAGTGGAAAAAATATCCTCCAGTGAAGATTCAAACAAACAAACAAAACCACAATATGGCCGGCACTCGGGGGGCCGCCTTGTTCACGTGGGTCCCTGGCCCTCGGGGGGCCGCCTTGTTCACGTGGGTCCCTGGCCCCACCGGGGCTACGGGCTGGGCCCACCCCCAGCAGCTGGTCTGCCGGGCATCCCTGCCCCTCGGCCCTTGTTCCCCCCCCCGACGCCCCTGTCTGCTCCCGTCAGGCGAGGAAGTCCATCTCCTCCCACCTCAGCACCCTGGCGGACTTTGCCATCGAGATGTTTGACGTCCTGGACGAGATCAACTACCAGTCCTACAATGACTTCGTGCTCCGCGTGGGTAGGTGGCACTCCGCCTCCCCGCACCCGCGCCAGGGGCTGGGGCCAGGCCCTCCCTCTGGGAACGGGGTCCGCTGGCAAGGCCCCCGTCTCGAAGGTGGAAGGACACGACCAGAGGGGCAGCTTGGGGACGGAGTCCCGGTGAACTTGGATCTACCCGTCTCTGCTTCCCTGCCTGTGGGCCCCGGGGGCCTCCCCGCGGCGTCCAGGTCTCGTCCCCTGGGAGGTGCTCTGACTAATCCAGGTGGTGACAGGAAACGGATCTGAGGGTCCGTCCGGGAAATTCCGTTACTTTCTCTCCCACAGGGACCCACGAACAAGCCCGATGGCCGGTCACGGGGGCGGGGGGGGCCCTGACTCAGTCTCGTCCACATGGACCAGGGCATCCGGTTGGCGGTGGGGGTTCTCAGTGTCCCCCCAGCCATGTATGAAGTGGTCACCTTGGGGCTCCTCTCAGGCTCCCACATCCACCTGTCTGTGGTGGAGCTCACACCACTGAGTTCTGCACCCCCACCTTCCCCTGCCCCTCGCCAGCACCCCAACCCCACTGCCCAGGCTCTGGGGCACTGACCAGCCCAGTGTCCAAAACGTTACTGACGCCCTTGGTTAAGCAGAGAAGGGAACAGGGAGATGGTCGCAGGGGCATTGGCACCTCGTGTCTCTCCCGGGCAGTGGACCTGAGCCCCATAAAGAGAAGGGGCCTCCATTCCCCCTCGGAGCGTCCTGAGATGCTGTGGCCAGTTCTGGGCCTGCACCCAAAACAGCCCCGGGGTCCCACCCAGGCAAACACAGGAGCCGCTCCCGGGGCACATGGTGATCCCACAGGTGGAGAGTGTGGCCCCCTCCTGGCAGGACTCAGCAAGGGACGCTGTTCTGGGGGTCGGGATGGCGCCGGCCCGTAGGCGGGTGGGTCCTGTCTTAGGGGCGTTGCACTAGGACACCCCAGGGAGTCTCCACCGGCAAGGGGCAGCACTGTCCCTGGAAGCGTCCCCACGAGCCCCACATGGCGGTTGGTTGTCTTCCAGGCATAAACGTTGGCCCCGTGGTGGCCGGGGTGATCGGGGCTCGCCGGCCGCAGTACGACATTTGGGGGAACACGGTCAACGTGGCCAGTCGGATGGACAGCACTGGGGTTCCGGGCAGAATCCAGGTCAGTTCAGTCCCAAGCCTCCCAGCCACCGGTGGCCTCGTGCAGGCGGAGACGCCGGCCAGGAGGCTGGGGCAGCCGGGCGGCAGGGCCTCGCTGACCAGCGGCCACAGGAATTCCAGGAACAAGGGGGCCCTTCCCCTTTCTGTGGCGGGGCACGCGGTCAGCACCCAGATGCTCACGACGGGCCCGTCCCCGGAGCCGCGCAGGCCCTAACGTGCTGCAGTTACTTGAGTTTCCGCGAGAGTCACGCCCACCCTCCTCCCTGCAGGTGACCGAGGAGGTGCAGCGGCTGCTGAGGCCGGGCGGGTACCACTTCCTGTGCCGGGGCAAGGTCAGCGTCAAGGGCAAGGGCGAGATGCTGACCTACTTCCTGGAAGGCAGGGCCAACGGAACTGGCTCGCACCCCAGGTCCCTGAACTCGGAGCGGAAAATGTGTCCTTACAGGAGGGCTGGCCTCCAGGCCAGACTGGCCACGGGCCACCCCCCGGTTTCCCCCATGGCCGGCCTCCCGGCAGGAGCTGGGCAGGGGGCTCCGCAGGGCTCAGGGCTCGCCCCCAGGCCCCCCGACCCG